CCTGTCCCTGTATTACCTGTCCCTGTATTACCTGTCCCTGTATTACCTGTATATGTATTACCTGTCCCTTTATTACCTGTTCCTGTATTACCTGTATATGTATTACCTGTTCTTGTATTACCTGTCCCTGTATTACCTGTCCCTGTATTACCTGTATATGTATTACTTGTCCCTGTATTACATGTACCTGTATGAATATATCTGTATTACCTTTACCTGTATTACATGTCCTAATTCCCTGTCCCCTTATTACTTGATTACCTGTTTCTGTTACCTGTCCCTGTATTACTTGTATTACCTGTATCTGCATTACCTGTCCTTGTATTGCATGTCCCTATAAATATTAAATGTATATATATTACCTATATTACTTCAACAGCCAGCAGCTCTTCAGATAGCAGTTCTTTACATAGCAGATGATGAGATAGCATGTCTTCAGATAGCAGCTGGTAAAATAGCAGCTCTCCAGATCGCAACTGATGAGATAGAAGCTCTACAACAGCCAGTAGCTGATGAAATAGTAACTCTTCAGCATCTAGAAGCTCTTCAGAATAGCAGCTTTTCAACAGACAGCAGTTCTTCAGATAACCGCTCTTCAGCAGACAGAATCTGATGAGATAGCATCTCTTCAACAGACATCAGTTCTTCACATAGCATCTCTTCAGCAGTTGTTGTATGGATTGCGGTTTATTTGAGAATAAAATCTAATAAAGGATAAAAAAGTATTATTGTAATTTAAAAATAAAAATATACATACTTTCTGTTAAAGAATATATCATCATCATTGGATAATTGAACCTGATTAACATAATCAATCATTTATTTACTTACTTACAAATATTATTTTCTTTTTTTATTTATTATATTTTATAGATTTTATTATCACAATGAATTTCTACATTTTCCAGAATAGTAATTGGTATTCCTCTATTTACAAATTTTATTTTAAAGAAATTTAAAAAAAAAAAATTTCATTGTGTGTGTGTTTAAAAAAATTAATTTTTTTTTTTAAATTTCAAATTATTTGAAAAAAATTAATTTTTATATAAATGGTTATTTTCAATTTTCGAATTTCCCCCACAATGCATATCATTTTTTATATTTTTTTTTAAAAAATTTAATTTTTTTTTTTATTCAAAATTTAAAAAAAAAATCACTATGAAAAAAAAGAATTCAGTTAATTAATTTAATTATTTAAAAAATAAATATTGAGCTGCTTTCATGAAGAGTACAAAAAACTTATCTTTTTTTAATATAAAAAATTAATTTGAAATTGACACAACAAATAAATAAAAAAATAAATATAACTAAACTTTGTTTTAATAATTAAAACTAACATTTAATTTAATTTTTGAGGGAATGATTTATCGAAAAATTTGACCCCAGCGGGTGATCCAGTATTATATATTTTTAATTTTTTGTCGCCAAATTATTTTTTTTATATTTAATTTGGTTGGCGGGCGGCGATCGATAAGCTTTGCCACTTCAGCAAAAGTACCCGTCAGGGTGTGGAGCTTTATAGAAATGTTAAATGATGAATCTCTGAAGTTTATTACAGGTAATTGCGCCCCAAGGAAACAAAAGAAATCGAGAACTCATAGAACTTCCTTTCAGTTATATGTGGTCATTCAAAAATGTATAGGAGGTAAAAGTACATTCGAAACTAATAATGTAAACACACCTATACCTCCGCGTTTTATATAAATATAATAATGAATGTTCTTTCCCACATCTTGGATCTTGTTTGATATGATCATTGTTTCATC